GATACATACTAACAAGCTGTACACGAAGTGTGTAGAATGCTGCCAGAGGGAAATCAGATTGCCAGTCACCAAGACATTCTGCAGCGTCTGAACGCTACACACAGAGTGGCAGCGCTTTTCATGCGATGCCTAGAAAATGAAGACGTTCTGCAAAACATGGTTGTCGTGGAGGAAGTATGTGGAGGGCGCTGCGGTTATGTAGGTTTAACTCGGTCTCTATATTGCCATAAAGATCCCAATTATGTTATAAAATTCCTGCAATTTGCTGTTCAGAGAACATGCCTTGCAATGTATACAGCTTACATAGAATCTAAGCTAAACACAGGGATTATTCTCCAACCTGGAAATGTGCCAAATGGACAGTAAAGGAGGAGACTATATTTAAAAGAAGAAAAACTACCACAACAAGAGGACATAGTCTTAAATTAGAGGGGCAAAGGTTTAAAAATAATATCAGGAAGTATTACTTTACTGAGAGGGTAGTGAATGCATGGAATAGCCTTCCAGCTGAAGTGGTAGAGGTTAACACAGTAAAGAAGTTTAAGCATGCGTGGGATAGGCATAAGGCTAACCTAACTATAAGATAAGGCCAGGGACTAATGAAAGTATTTAGAAAATTGGGCAGACTAGATGGGCCGAATGGTTCTTATCTGCCGTCACATTCTATTTTTCTATGGACAAGGGAAAGGGGAATTTTAGTCCAAATTGGTTAAAAGGGCCATTTATTCTGGCTCAGCTAATTTAGCCCAATATTTGTGATTCTTTTCAAATAATTTTTATTAAAGTTTTAAAACTTTGTATAAGAAGTAATAATAATACAAACATTGTATTAGGGGTAGGGAAGGAAACGGAACTTGGAAATGGGAAGGGGTATCCATCCATCATTGAAATAAACATAATGTATATGGCAAAAATTCTGTACATCAATGCACTTTAACAATAAATATATCAAAGACCATAAACTGTTTTGATTTTTTTCTTCCCATTTATCCCAATTATATTTTAGTATTGGGAAACCATGCATATTGGCTCTATGCGATAATTCGTGTGCCTTATTTTCTAGAATCAAATTAAAAACTTCTCTGAGAGATGGCACATTTTGGGACTTCCAATGTCTAGGTAAACAGGATGTAGCAGCGATCAGAATGTGGCCTATGATTATTTTATCTGATCTATTAACGGACTCCGGGAGTTTTTTTAAATAAGGCTAGTTCCGAAGTTAAAATGCTAATGGTTCTGTTCACTTTAATAATTAATTAGATCATGAATCATTTTCCAATAATTAGTGAATTTGGGGCAGAACCACCAGATATGGGCCATATTGCCCACACCCCCACAGTCTCTCCAACACCGGTCAGAATACATATTGAATATTTGTGATTCTATTATTCATTCTGCATAATTCCGAATAAACACATGGCATTCTGTGATCCTGGCTGTATAACTTGCTCCTGTAACTCCCAGAGCCGTGTTTTCATGCCTAGACTCTGAATATTCCTCTCCCGATTACACATTCCAAGCGGAAGCCTTCACTCACCTCAGGCTATCACCCAACGACCAACACTCAGCTCCACGATCCTTCAATCTGGCTTAATTGCTGTGGAATTCTGGGTAATCCTTTCACATGGCCCAGTCTAAACTGAGGAGCGGACATCTGACTGCTTTAATGTGAACATTTGGGGTGTTTTATTTGTAATTAAAGTTTTTATCACAGAAAAGACTAATACAACGTCATACAACAAATACGGTCAATTTCGATAATTTAAGAAATATATTAAGAAACCAGTATGGAGAGGGAACTCAAGAGAAGGGAACCTGGGGCTTTTTAAAAATGTTATAAAATCCACTAATTTCAGTAATTAAACACTTTACTAATGCTCCTGCTAAATGCTCTCTGTGCAGTCATTTAATAACATTACACTGAGTATTAAACCTAAATCTCGCCAGGATAAACTGTTTGGTATATATTGCCGTCTTCCCAGAATGGACTTGTGCAAAAATTTGATCCAGCCATTAATCCCACTCAAATTAATTTTTATCAACACACAAATGCATCGTTACTGGATTTACCCGTGGAGCAGAATTTACTGAATAAGAAAATAAATATTTATTACTCCATATAACCTCCCTATAACTCCTCCTATTACTCCATATAACCCTCCCTATTACTCCATATAACCCTCCCTATAGCTCCCCCTATTACTCCATATAACCCTCCCTATAACTCCTCCTATTACTCCATATAACCCTCCCTATAGCTCCTCCTATTACTCCATATAACCCTCCCTATAACTCCCCCTATTACTCCATATAACCCTCCCTATAGCTCCTCCTATTACTCCATATAACCCTCCCTATAACTCCCCCTATTACTCCATATAACCCTCCCTATACCGCCTCCTATTACTCCATATAACCCTCCCTATAACCCCTCCTATTACTCATATAACCCTCCCTATAACTCCTCATATTACTCCATATAACCCTCCCTATAGCTCCTCCTATTACTCCATATAACCCTCCCTATAACTCCCCCTATTACTCCATATAACCCTCCCTATACCGCCTCCTATTACTCCATATAACCCTCCCTATAACCCCTCCTATTACTCCATATAACCCTCCCTATAACTCCTCCTATTACTCCATATAACCCTCCCTATAACTCCTCCTATTACTCCATATAACCTCCCTATAATTCCTCCTATTACTCCATATAACCCTCCCTATAACTCCTCCTATTACTCCAATTATAACCCTCCCTATAACTCCTCCTATTACTCCATATAACCCTCCCTATAACCCCTCCTATTACTCCAATTAATATAAGCTGGTATAATAGGAACAGTTGGCAAGTCCAACATGTTTTCCTTGATCCGTCTTTTCTACATACTGATGGGTAGTACACAAAGGAAATTCATTAATTAAAGGGACACTCCAGGCACCCAGACCACTTCTGCCCATTGGAGTGGTCTGGGTGCCAACTCCCACTACCCTTAACCCTGCAACTGTAATTATTGCAGGTTTTTTATAAACTGTGATAATTACCTTGCAGGGTTAACTCCACCTCTAGTGGCTGTCTACTAGACAACCACTAGAGGGCACTTCCGTGTCTATAGCTCAGATTTTCTGTGCTTGAGCGCCGCTAGACGTCCTCACGCTGTGTGAGGACCTCCAGCGTCGCTCAATTCCCCATAGGAAAGCATTGAAAATAATTTTCAATGCTTTCCTATGGGGAGACCTAATGCGCGTGCGCGGCATTACAGCGCATGCGCATTAGGTTTCCTCAGCCGAGGGATCAGTCTCGCCCACCGGCTGACGTAATTGCTGGGAGGAGCGACGCCGACCCGAAACCACCGCCGAGGGACATCGGCAGGGTCTCAGGTAAGTGACCTTAAGGGGTTTTCACCCATTCAGCTACCTGGGATGGGAGGTGGAAGGGAGAGGGTACCTGCAGTGCCAGGAAAACTGATTGTTTTCCTGGCACTGGAGTTTCCCTCTAATCAAAGAATCTCCCCTGTAACATACCAATGCTACACACAGCTCTCAGCTAAATCAGGCTATTTATTGTTATTATTAAAAATAAGTAAATAATAAAATCGAGCCACGTGGCTTTAGATTTCTCTATGTATAGTAACTACCAATCATTACCAGACTATAAACCCATCAGATAAAAGGTAGATTGATAGAGCAGTATGGCTCGCGATTCCTCCATGTATTCCTAGACACGGATACATACTAACAAGCTGTACACGAAGTGTGTAGAATGCTGCCAGAGGGAAATCAGATTGCCAGTCACCAAGACATTCTGCAGCGTCTGAACGCTACACACAGAGTGGCAGCGCTTTTCATGCGATGCCTAGAAAATGAAGACGTTCTGCAAAACATGGTTGTCGTGGAGGAAGTATGTGGAGGGCGCTGCGGTTATGTAGGTTTAACTCGGTCTCTATATTGCCATAAAGATCCCAATTATGTTATAAAATTCCTGCAATTTGCTGTTCAGAGAACATGCCTTGCAATGTATACAGCTTACATAGAATCTAAGCTAAACACAGGGATTATTCTCCAACCTGGAAATGTGCCAAATGGACAGTAAAGGAGGAGACTATATTTAAAAGAAGAAAAACTACCACAACAAGAGGACATAGTCTTAAATTAGAGGGACAAAGGTTTAAAAATAATATCAGGAAGTATTACTTTACTGAGAGGGTAGTGGATGCATGGAATAGCCATCCAGCTGAAGTGGTAGAGGTTAACACAGTAAAGGAGTTTAAGCATGCGTGGGATAGGCATAAGGCTATCCTAACTATAAGATAAGGCTAGGGACTAATGAAAGTATTTAGAAAATTGGGCAGACTAGATGGGCCGAATGGTTCTTATCTGCCGTCACATTCTATTTTTCTATGGACAAGGGAAAGGGGAATTTTTGTCCAAATTGGTTAAAAGGGCCATTTATTCTGGCTCAGCTAATTTAGCCCAATATTTGTGATTCTTTTCAAATAATTTTTATTAAAGTTTTAAAACTTTGTATAACAAGTAATAATAATACAAACATTGTATTAGGGGTAGGAAAGGAAAGGGAACTTGGAAATGGGAAGGGGTATCCATCCATCACTGAAATAAGCATAACAATGTATATGGCAAAAATTCTGTACATCAATGCACTTTAACAATAAATATATCAAAGACCATAAACTGTTTTGATTTTTTTCTTCCCATTTATCCCAATTATATTTTAATATTGGGAAACCATGCATATTGGCTCTATGCGATAATTCGTGTGCCTTGTTTTCTAGAATCAAATTAAAAACTTCTCTGAGAGATGGCACATTTTGGGACTTCCAATGTCTAGGTAAACAGCATGTAGCAGCGATCAGAATGTGGCCTATGATTATTTTATCTGATCTATTAACGGACTCCGGGAGTTTTTTTAAATAAGGCTAGTTCCGAAATTAAAATGCTAATGGTTCTGTTCACTTTAATAATTAATTAGATCATGAATCATTTTCCAATAATTAGTGAATTTGGGGCAGAACCACCAGATATGGGCCATATTGCCCACACCCCCACAGTCTCTCCAACACCGGTCAGAATACATATTGAATATTTGTGATTCTATTATTCATTCTGCATAATTCCGAATAAACACATGGCATTCTGTGATCCTGGCTGTATAACTTGCTCCTGTAACTCCCAGAGCCGTGTTTTCATGCCTAGACTCTGAATATTCCTCTCCCGATTACACATTCCAAGCGGAAGCCTTCACTCACCTCAGGCTATCACCCAACGACCAACACTCAGCTCCACGATCCTTCAATCTGGCTTAATTGCTGTGGAATTCTGGGTAATCCTTTCACATGGCCCAGTCTAAACTGAGGAGCGGACATCTGACTGCTTTAATGTGAACATTTGGGGTGTTTTATTTGTAATTAAAGTTTTTATCACAGAAAAGACTAATACAACGTCGTACAACAAATACGGTCAATTTCGATAATTTAAGAAATATATTAAGAAACCAGTATGGAGAGGGAACTCAAGAGAAGGGAACCTGGGGCTTTTTAAAAATGTTATAAAATCCACTAATTTCAGTAATTAAACACTTTACTAATGCTCCTGCTAAACGCTCTCTGTGCAGTCATTTAATAACATTACACTGAGTATTAAACCCAAATCTCGCCAGGATAAACTGTTTGGTATATATTGCCGTCTTCCCAGAATGGACTTGTGCAAAAATTTGATCCAGCCATTAATCCCACTCAAATTAATTTTTATCAACACACAAATGCATCGTTACTGGATTTACCCGTGGAGCAGAATTTACTGAATAAGAAAATAAATAATTATTACTCCATATAACCCTCCCTATAACTCCTCCTATTACTCCATATAACCCTCCCTATAACCCCTCCTATTACTCCATATAACCCTCCCTATAGCTCCCCCTATTACTCCATATAACCCTCCCTATAACTCCTCCTATTACTCCATATAACCCTCCCTATAACTCCCCCTATTACTCCATATAACCCTCCCTATAACTCCTCCTATTACTCCATATAACCCTCCCTATAACCCCTCCTATTACTCCATATAACCCTCCCTATAACTCCTCCTATTACTCCATATAACCCTCCCTATAACCCCTCCTATTACTCCATATAACCCTCCCTATAGCTCCCCATATTACTCCATATAACCCTCCCTATAACCCCTCCTATTACTCATATAACCCTCCCTATAACTCCTCCTATTACTCATATAACCCTCCCTATAACGCCCTATTACTCCATATAACCTCTCTCTATAACACCTCCTATTACTCCATATAACCTCTCCCTACAACTCCTCCTGTTACTCCATATAACCTCTCCCTATAACTCCTCCTATTACTCCATATAACCCCTCTCTATAACTCCTCCTATTACTCCATATAACCTCTCTCTATAACTCCTCTTATTACTTCATATAACCTCTCCCTATAACTCCTCTTATTACTCCATATACCCTCTCTCTATAACTCCTCTTATTACTCCATGTAACCTCTCTCTATAATTCCTCCTATTACTCCATATAACCTCTCCCTATAACTCCTCCTATTACTCCATATAACCTTCCCTATAACCCCTCCTATTACTCCATATAACCTCCCTATAACTCCTCCTATTACTCCCTATAACCCTCCCTATAACTCCTATTACTCCATATAACCCTCCCTATAACCCCTCCTATTACTCCATATAACCCTCCCTATAACCCCTCCTATTACTCCATATAACCATCCCTATATCTCCTCCTATTACTCCATATAACTTCTCCTATTACTCCATATAACCCTACCTATAACTCCTCCTATTACTTCATATAACTCTCCCTATAACTCCCCCTATTACTTCATATAACCCTCCCTATAACTCCATATAACTCCTCCTATTACTCCATATTACCCTGCCCATAGCTCGTCCTATTAGTCAATATAACCCTACCTATAACTCCTCCTATTACTCCTTATAACACTCCATATAACTCCTCCTATTACTCCATATAACCCTCCCTATAGCTCCTCCTATTACTCATATAACCCTCCCTATAACCCCTCCTATTACTCCATATAACCCTCCCTATAACCTCCTCCTTGCTCCATATAACTTATCCTATTACTCCATATAACCATCCCTTTATAGCTCCTCCTATTACTCATATAACCCTCCTATAACCCTCTCCTATTACCCATATAACCCTCCATATAACTCCTCCTATTACTTCCATATAGTCCATTACTCCTATAACCCCTCCCTCCTATTACTCCATATAACCCTCCTATAACTCCTCCTATTACTCCATATAACCCTCCCTATAACTCCTCCTATTACTCCATATAACCCTCCCTATAACTCATCCTATTACTCCATATAACTCCTCCTATTACTCCCTATTACCCTCCCTATAACCCCTCCTATTACTCCATATAACCCTCCCTATAACTCCTCCTGTTACTGTATATAACCCTCCATATAACGCCTCCTATTACTCCATATAACCCTCCCTATAACTCCTCCTATTACTCCATATAACCCTCCCTATAACTCCTCCTATTACTCCATATAACCCTCCCTATAACTCCTCCTATTACTCCATATAACCCTCCCTATAGCCCCTCCTATTACTCCATATAACCCTCACTATAACTCCTCCTATTACTCCATATAACCCTCCCTATAGCTCCTCCTATTACTCATATAACCCTCCCTATAACTCCTATTACTCCATATAACTCATCCTATTACCCTCTCTCTAACTCCTCCTATTATTCCATATAACCCTCCCTATAACTCCTCCTATTACTCCATATAACTCCTCCTATTACTCCAGATTACCCTCCCTATAACTCCCCCTATTACTCCATATAACCCTCCCTATAACTCCTCCTATTACTCCAGATTACCCTCCCTATAACTCCTCCTATTACTCCATATTACCCTCCCTATAACTCCTCCTATTACTCCAGATTACCCTCCCTATAACTCCTCCTATTACTCCATATAACTCCTCCTATTACTCCAGATTACCATCCCTATAACTCCACCTATTACTCCATATAACTCCTATTATTCCATATAACCCTCCCTATAACCCCTCCTATTACTCCATATAACCCTCCCTACAACTCCTCCTATTACTCCATATAACCCTCCCTACAACTCCTCCTATTACTCCATATAACCTTCCCTATAACACCTCCTATTACTCCATATAACCCTCCCTATAAGCCCTCCTATTACTCCATATAACTCTCCCTATAACTCCTATTACTCTATATAACCTTCCCTACAACTCCATATAACCCTCCCTATAACTCCATATAACCCTCCCTATAACTCCTCCTATTCCTTCATATAACCCTCCCTTCAACTTAGGCGATCAAAAGTCACCTAGCAGGCAGGAAGTGTCCAGAGTGGCTTGATTGACAGCCAATAGAGGCAGTATTAACCCTGCAATGTAATTACTGCAATTTCTCAAAAACTGCAATAAAAAACTAAACACTGCAGGTTTAAGGAGACAGGGTCACTACACTCGGACCACTTCAATGAGCTGAAATGGTCTGGGTGCCTATTGTGTCCCTTTAACCCTCCCTATAACTAATCCTATTGCTCCATAATGGAGTGGAGGTGAAAGTAATTGAAGATTATGCTAGCTTTAGTGTACTAATAATCTTAATTTTAATAAGGACAGGAGGCTTCCTTTTTTGCCTCTTTCTTTACTGCTCCATCGCAGACAGGTCAGAATATTTGCTCCCCAGGAGCTTTATACATTTATTGTCATTACTTATTTGTTCCTTTCTATTTCAATATCTTATCATTTTTATCATTGTTTTAGCACCTTTTATTTCCCAGAAGGAATAGAGGGGCAGATAGGGGGGTAGAAAACCCCACAGAGAGCCCCTAGTCCCACAGCCCTAATACAGAACAAATAAATAGGAAATAAAAGGTGCTAAAGCAATGGTAAGATATTGAAATAGAAAGGAACAAATAAGTAATGACAATAAATGTATAAAGCTCCAGGGGAGCAAATATTCTGACCTGTCTGCGATGGAGCAGTAAAGAAAGAGGCAAAATAGGAAGCCTCCTGTCATGTTATAAAATTAAGGCTTGTATGTATACAGTTAGTAATGAAGGGGTTAATGTCCATACATGCAGAATATGTTTTTTTTTTTTTTTTAATATTTTAGGGTGATAGGTCAGTATAAATGGCTATTCATATCATAAAATACATCACCATTAGCAATATATTAGAATTAGACTAGAATATATAAATCTGTAGCTTCTTATTAAATATCAGTTTAGGTTCTCCGGCTGTTGCCGCTGTTGCTCCAAAACGATTGATTTCCTCACTGAAGCTGTAATTTCAATTAAATGCTTAATTCTATTTGCAGGAGGTGTTCTTCTTGGTGACAGATAGGAGGAGCCAGAGAACCCGTCCTGTGACGAATTGCTGGTGGAACGTCATATCACAGGCCTTAGTTATATAGACAGATCAATGTGATGCGGCCAAAACCAAGCTAGAAATTGTGCTTACGCCTAGAGAGAAAACACGGATTCTGGAGAACAATGATCACTCTCCACCTCAGATATATCCGTGCAGTTCCCGGTTTAGTGATATGTAACGGGAACTTCCAATACATAGTTTCATTTCAAACATCAGGTAACATGGGTCCAGTAAAGGCTAACAGTGATATGGAAAGGGTAGTAGATACCTGGAATAGCCTTCCAGTGGGAGCAGTAACAGTGATACAGAAAGGGTAGTAGATACCTGGAATAGCCTTCCAGTGGGAGTGGTAACAGCGATATAGAAAGGGTAGTAGATACCTGGAATAGCCTTCCAGTGGGAGCAGTAACAGTGATATAGAAAGGGTAGTAGATACCTGGAATTGCCTTCCAGTGGGAGCAGTAACAGTGATATAGAAAGGGCAGTAGACACCTGGAATAGCCTTCCAGTGGGAGCAGTAACAGTGATATAGAAAGGGTAGTAGATACCAGGAATAGCCTTCCAGTGGGAGCAGTAACAGAGATATAGAAAGGGTAGTAGATACCTGGAATGGCCTTCCAGTGGGAGCAGTAACAGTGATATAGAAAGGGTAGTAGATACCAGGAATAGCCTTCCAGTGGGAGCAGTAACAGTGATATAGAAAGGGTAGTAGATACCTGGAATAGCCTTCCAGTGGAGCAGTAACAGTGATATAGAAAGGGTAGTAGATACCTGGAATAGCCTTCCAGTGGGAGCGGTAACAGCGATATAGAAAGGGTAGTAGATACCAGGAATAGCCTTCCAGTGGGAGCGGTAACAGCGATATAGAAAGGGTAGTAGATACCCGGAATAGCCTTCCAGTGGGAGCAGTAACAACGATCTAGAAAGGGTAGTAGATACCTGGAATAGCCTTCCAGTGGGAGCAGTAACAGCGATATAGAAAGGGTAGTAGATACCTGGAATAGCCTTCCAGTGGGAGCAGTAACAGCGATATAGAAAGGGTAGTAGATACCTGGAATAGCCTTCCAGTGGGAGCAGTAACAGCGATATAGAAAGGGTAGTAGATACCTAGAATAGCCTTCCAGTGGGATCAGTAACAGTGACATAGAAAGGGTAGTAGATACCTGAAATAGCCTTCCAGTGGGAGCAATAACAGTGATATAGAAAGGGTAGTAGATACCAGGAATAACCTTCCAGTGGGAGCAGTAACAGTGATATAGAAAGGGTAGTAGATACCTGGAATAGCCTTCCAGTGGGAGCAGTAACAGTGATATAGAAAGGGTAGTAGATACCCGGAATAGCCTTCCAGTGGGAGCAGTAACAGTGATATAGAAAGGGTAGCATGGTATACAGTTGCAATCAAAATTATTCAACTCCCATTGAAAAAAATCAGGTTCGTTGTCACAATGAGCAGACTTTCAGCAATGAACAAATCAAAGTAAAGCAATTGAAATAGCTTAACACAAAGAATGCTTTAAGTAGTTTTCCCAACTCCAACTGATGACGTCTCCAGTCTTGAAATTATTCAACCCCTTCCTGTCAATCTTTAGTCCTTAGTAGAGCTCCTCCCTTTTGGTGTTATGACTGGCTGCATATGAGATGCAGAGCCAGACAGCAGCTTCTGGCAACGTTCCTGAGAAATCTTTTTTACTCCAATTCAGTAATGTGCTTGTGTGGTACCCCGTCGGGGTGCCAGGTGATCTGTTACAGCTTGGGTTTGTGTGCTGTACCTGCCTTCTTCTAATCCCCCCAGAGATTTTATATTGGGTTCAAGTCAGGTGACTGTGATGGCCACTGTAGAATTTTTAAGGCCATCTTCTGCAACCAAGCCTTGGTGGAATTTGAGGTATGCTTGGGATCATTGTCTTACTGGAAAGTCCAATGACGCCCAAGCTTCAGGTTCCTCACAGACGGCATGGTGTTTTCGCCTAGGAGTTCCTGATACTTCCATGAATCCATCTTGCCTTCCACACGCTACAGGCAGCCCCAGAGCATCACCGAGCCACCACCATGTTTAACTGCAGACAGCATTCTTTTCAGCGTAGGCTTCTTTCTTCTTCCTCCTGATTTAACGCTGATTAAAAGGGCCGAAAAGTTCCAGTTTTGTTTTATTGCTTCACAGAGCAGAACTTATTTATTTATAGGATTTTGAGCATATTAGAGCCAACTTTTCTTGTGTTTTTGGGTCAGTAGTTGTGTACGTCTTAGAGTTCTTTTTTTTACAATCTGCTTTCTCAAAAATCTGGTTGCAGCCACTGATAGATTCCTTTTTCTGTCCCGTCCATGAAGCGAACAATGCTTCCACCGGTGTCTCTAAGAACATTCGGTGCCTTTGCTATCTTTTTGTATCCTTTTCCTGGTTTGTGAAGGGCAATGATCTCGTCTCTTAACTTTGTGGACCATTCTTTTTACTTAGCCATATTCCTAACATGCAGTCAAATATGACACTCAACAAACCCCCTAGCAAGTGCAAATATTTCAAGTATTCCAGCTCAAGCACACTTGGTGCAACTAGTGGAGCCTTTGACTAGTTGTATCAGTATTTATGCAGTTGTGAGGGATTCTATTCAGGGGGTTGAATACTTTTGAGACTGGAGAAGTCATAAGTTTCATTTTCAGTTGACTTTAAAGCATTTGTTTGATTTGTTCATAGCAAACAGCTGAAATTCTGTAAATTTTGACAATAAAACTGATTTTTTTTTAATGGAGGTTATATTAATTTGCTTACAACTGTATAATGTCACTTTACTATTTAACGATGTGAAATGGGCCTGTTAAACATTTTAGTTGACACAGGTGAATGAATATAAAAATAAAGATCTATATAAATACATTTTTAGAATATTGCTGAATTGACAGATGTGAAGCACCAATGACAGTACCCACAGACCTCTTGAAATTAAAATACAGGAAAACAACACTACACATGTGCATACACTAAATAAATAATTCAGAATAACTTCTGTTACTGTTATTTTAAAGAAACATTGCAGATATACAATAGCTAAATTCATTATCGAATACTTCAGTTCCATTATCATGGTATAGTATAAATATTCAGGTTACTTACTAATAAAACTTTGTATTTACAGTGGGGAGAATGGGTGGGATTCATTTATTTATTAATGGAAGTTTATGAGAATTAAGGACCATCTCATATGGTTCTCAATTTGTACATAAACTTGAAAAACCTGTCTCTCCACCTGCTGTTAGATTGTACCACCCATAATGATCTGCAAACCAAGGGAATATTGCTTAAATGGACACTGAGCACAAATCTTAAGCGTTTAATAGGTTTTGTCCTTATTAATATGCTGCATTTTTATGCATGCTCAAATCTTTACAGTTTTTGCATAAAATAAATGTATTCTAAAATGCTACACTATAGGCCTGCCTCCTTAGCCGCACCCCCTCACTCCAGAAGAAGACTTCCTTATACATACTAAAAAAATGTACACGGCTCAGCCACTGACAGCACTGAATGGTCTGAACTACAAAGCAACCTGCATTTAGAAGGAGAGGACACCCAGGGAGACTTATAGTAAGGATATAACTACCGGTTTGTAGATTCTCGGATTCTCTGCAAACAGGTTCTGAATGAAAAGCAATCCACTCAGAGCTGTTGGGGTTGAGACTATGTGCATACATTTGACAAGGAAATCTTTCGGACACGAGGGGGCACGGCTAAGGAGGCCGGCTTATGGTGCACTATTAAGCATGCACAAAAATACAGTCAAGACCAGAAAAAAATAATAATTGCATTACAGCTGTATTGGGGCCGGAGTGTCTCTTTAAAAGAGGCATATGATCTGCATGCACAAATTTTCAAATATGTACAATGAATCTACTTCCCAGATATCCTAAATAAACCACTTACAACAAATGACAGCCCTCCACCACCCAACGCATTGCATCATATAGTGTATATTAATTAACCAAACAAGTTTTTCTTAAAATATTTTATATCCACAAGGACAGAGTATGGAGGAGAAGCTGGATAATTAACCCAAACATTTACAAAAGTTAATTTCTGAGACACAAGTAAGAAGTTCCTCCCCTTACAGCATTGGATAATATTTAAAGGGACAGTCCCTGTAAGTTCAACTCATTCAATGTACTGTCTTTTATTCCTATTACAATCTTAAGCTGATATTTTATTTCGTATTAAGACTGCTGGTCAGTCCTATCAGGCACAAGTAAGTATTTTGTATATTATATATTACTTTTTCTATTTTCCTGCTTTTGTATGCTAATTATTAATCCGACATGAACACGTGATATGCTAAAACAAAAAACTGTGCACTCCAAGGGGAGAATAATGAAGCCTAAATATTCACATAAGTCACAAACCTAAAATTAAATAACGGTTATGTTTTTAGGACAGAATACTTCCAAGGACGCAGATTATACGAAAACATGTATAAAACAGAACAAAACTCACTGAGAGGACTGTCCCTTTAAATATGGAAAAGCGAACATGACATTTCTACTGAGAGAGAACATTCCATTATTGCTTCACAAATATCTACTTTTTACTATAAATGACTACAATGTTGCAGCATGTTTGCTAAAGACAAACCTGAACAGGTAGATAAAGTATCTTTGGGGGGTAAGACTACCATTCCCCCCCGCCCTTTGGATAACCACAGACACAGTTTTGGGAACGTGGCATCGTAACTGGCCGCAGCCAATTAAAAAAAACAAAAAACAAACAAAAAAAAAACCTTAATTTGTTAAAGTCACAAACTTTACCAATCCGAGTCAGATTCTGGTTACCTCAAGACAATTTCAATTACAAAACTCATCTAGGTCAGATTAATTAACTAAATGATAAAATTGATCTAAAAGGGTCTCGAGTACATTTATTTGAAATAAAAATGGAAAATATTGCTTTTTTTTTTCTTCCTTCTCCAAAACACATATGTACGTAAGGAGGCAGATACATTCAGTCTGAGAAGTTAAGCCACTTTGAATATCCGGATAAACAGGAAAATTGGTGCAAGTCTCATTGGGGGAAAAAAATAGGAACATCTTCAGCAATGCTGCTGTAGGAGACCAGAGAATATCCTGACTTGACAGAACAAATATAAACTGCATATTATTGCAGTTAAGCACCAGAATGCCTTATACTAGAGCACATCACTGCAGTAAAGCACAGCACTGCAAATGATAAACACTACAGTCATCAAATTTATCTTTGCTGCCAATTTAAATCACGGGATCTTTCTAGTAAATACTTTTGAAAGAGAAAAAAATGCAGTTCTCCATTACTTGCGTGTACTGACCAAGTGGGACAGCACCGGTAGTAACAAATTTTTATTTTTTTAAATTACAAATTAGAATGTTTCTCCTCGCCTTTTATACCCCGTCAACACCCAAATTTCAGAGACGGAGCATTGTATTCCGAGCTGAATTGCTGACCTTAGATGTCAGTAGCATTATAAGCAAATTACATGTCTCAGAGAGACACACTGGGCTGTAGAATGGACAAGAGTTGCAAAGAGTTCTGGGATGGTTATGGCTTACAATCCTGGCACTGCACCAGCAGTAAGAAGGCAAATAAAACAGATATTCCATCAGGATATTTTTAGGGGGCTGTGTGCCCATAAAATATACCAAATAGTCAACATTGTGCAGGTGTTTCCTCTGCATGTTTGCAGTCTCTTAATGAGGGAAAGGGGACAGGAGGAAAATGGATATATATATATCTATATATTTCCACAATTCAGAACAGAAAGGGATTTTTTTTCTTTCAGTAGAAAGTCTTTAATGTTTCCCTCTTGTTCCTCTTTAAATATTGACCATTATTCCCGTATACTCGCGGAGTAAGAGAATTGGGGGAAATGTGCGCGCTGCTCCGACTCCAGAGATTCCAAGTCATCATCTGAAAAGAGAAAGAAATTATGTCCATGAGTTAAAAATGAAAAATTTGGTTAAAGGTACAGTCCCATGTAGGAGCACAGTGACCTAATGACAGTGACATGTTTAATGGGTTAAAGTGACAGTCCCATGTAGGAGCACAGTGACCTAATGACAGTGACATGTTTAATGGGATAAAGGGACAGTCCCATGTAGGAACAAAGTGACCTAATGACAGTGACATGTTTAATGGGATAAAGGGACAGTCACATGTAGGAGGACAGTGACCTAATGACAGTGACATGTTTAATGGGATAAAGGGACAGTCCCATGTAGGAGCACAGTGACCTAATGACAGTGACATGTTTAATGGGTTAAAGGGACAGTCCCATGTAGGAGCAAAGTGACCTAATGAGACATGTTTAATGGGTTAAAGGGACAGTCCCATGTAGGAGCAAAGTGACCTAATGACAGCAACATGTTTAATGGGTTAAAGGGACAGTCCCATGTAGGAGCAAAGTGACCTAATGACAGCGACATGTTTAATGGGTTAAAGGGACAGTCCCATGTAGGAGCAAAGTGACCTAATGACAGCGACATGTTTAATGGGTTAAAGGGACAGTCCCATGTAGGAGCAAAGTGATCTAATGACAGTGACATGTTTAATGGGATAAAGGGACAGTCCCATGTAGGAACAAAGTGACCTAATGACAGTGACATGTTTAATGGGATAAAGGGACAGTCACATGTAGGAGGACAGTGACCTAATGACAGTGACATGTTTAATGGGATAAAGGGACAGTCCCATGTAGGAGCACAGTGACCTAATGACAGTGACATGTTTAATGGGTTAAAGGAACAGTCCCGTGTAGGAGCAAAGTGACCTGACCGTAACATGTTTAATGGGTTAAAGGGACAGTCCCATGTAGGAGCAAAGTGACCTAATGACAGCGACATGTTTAATGGGTTAAAGGGACAGTCCCATGTAGGAGCAAAGTGACCTAATGACAGCGACATGTTTAATGTCCCACAAAGTGAGCTAATGACAGCGACATGTTTAATGGGTTAAAGGACAGTCCCATGTAGGAGCAAAGTGACCTAATGACAGCGACATGTTTAATGGGTTAAAGGGACAGTCCCATGTAGGAGCACAGTGACCTAATGACATGTTTAATGGGTTAAAGGGACAGTCCCATGTAGGAGCAAAGTGACCTAATGACAGTGACATGTTTAATGGGTTAAAGGGACAGTCCCATGTAGGAGCAAAGTGACCTAATGACAGTGACATGTTTAATGGGTTAAAGGGACAGTCCCATGTAATGGTATAAAGGTATAAAAAGGAGATGCTGTATTCGGCACTCACATTTGTCTGGCGGTGTTACTGTTATGGTTTGAGCCGTAAACTCGTCATCAAAATATCTTGTGTCTATTTCTGAAGTGACTTGTGGTTTGAAAGGTGGGATCAGCTGTACGAAAGAGACAAAGTTAAATTAAATGACATCAATATTTGTTTTACAATATGCTCAGAATAAAAGAAAGAATTAAATAATAGATGATAAAGAAAAAAATCCCCCCCCACTAGCCAAGCATTGTCAGGATCAATATTGAGTGTAAATGAGGGCATGTCATATATCACCCTTCTTTTACATACAGAGCGCTTTGCTCAGCTGTGCTGCTGGGAGAGTTACCTTTCTCTCGGTGACATCTTGCCAATTGATAGAAGAAAAGAATCGATGGGCCATCACCTCTTGGGCATCATTGGGTCCCCCTCCGAGCCTGCAGGCAGAAGCCACAATCAGTTTATAGTACAGAATAATTTCTAATACTGCACTCCTAGCAGAGCCTGCTCCCCCATCATGCCCAGTGAGGAGACTCCTGACCCTACAGATACCAGAGAATTGAGCCTTAGATGGTCATTTGGGCGACAGTTAGTGAGCTAATTCTGCCAAATATTATTTATTACAAGATGTTGCACGCCATTCAATCCATCTGTGGATGTGACCTCGGATTCTGATATCAGCTAATGCTAATTGGATGGCTCGCACTTTGCTCACAGTTGCTCAGTGCTGGACATGTCCTTTACGGCACTGGGTGGACGTTAATTTACACCGTGCATTAACATGTGAGAACACAAGAAGCCCACTCACCTTAGCTTGGGGTCCTTTTTCAGGAGGCCGGCGAGGAGAGACTTTGCTTCAGGGCTCAGCGTCCGTGGAAAGCGAATCTCCTCCATCAGGATCAGCTCAAACAGCCTCTCATGGTCCTGGTTGTAGAAGGGAAGTCGCCCACACATCATCTCGTACATTACGACTCCCAGACCCCACCAGTCCACCGCTCGGCCATAGTCATTATCTTCCAACACCTAGAACCAAGTGGAGGCCAGAAAATGTTATTCAATCCCAGGGAAGACCAGGAAATGGCTTAGTGACAACTTAGCTTTTCATTCATACAATTAAATGCTACCAACCATAACAACCGCTTCGTATTCTAGTAAAGCCAGTCAATGTTTTTGATAAAAATAAACAACCATGGGTAGGCCAGAGGGAGCTTGAACAAATACTTCAGCAGCTTCAGATGCTGTGGCACTTGACTCACACCAATCCTAAAACCCAGATAATAGACAAGCAAACTGGTTTTGCGTCATTATTTGTTTCAAGCTAAATCCCCCAAGTTGCTAAATTATTACAG